CCTTTCTACTCTGCTCCAGGAGCTTTTAAGGCTTTTTTGTGGCTTTACCCCAATGCAATCATTAGATACAGCTGCTCTCAGCCTTCCAGCCAGGCAGACCTCTACCTGCTGACTCCCTGCTGCTGGGTCCCAGGCTGTGCACCTCCCTACCCAAACCCAGACAGAATTTAACTGAGTCCAATTAGAGCCTTTCCCATCCTTGTCATCAGCAGTCCCTCTATAGGAGGATGACAGTCTTCTAGTACATAAGGAAGTCACAGATGAGTCCTTACGTGACTGAAGAACCTGATCCAAGATTCACATGTTCGATTGCAGATGTGCCAAATAATCCTGGGAGGAAAGAGCGGACCCTGGTGATGTTGGATCACAGCTCTTCCCCTTTGTCTCTCACCTAGTTGCCACCATCGAGAGGCAAGTTAGCTCAAAATAGCTAATGTCTTCTTGTATTTCATGGTACCACTGGAGATAATTTGTGTGAATCTGATATCATTTTTCAGACCAACTTAAATAGTTGGGGAAAAATTTTTTTTAGCAAGCGCTCAGGTTTAAAAACCCTCCGTCAGGCTGAGGAAGTCTCTGCAGTTGGTGTGTGCTTTTCCTGGATGGTATGAATAGTTAAGGAGCCAGAGGCTGGGCTGCATGTGAGACAGGCCCAGTGAAGATGTAAATTGAGGAGTCAGTGGGTGAGAGACAGGCTGGACAGGGGGAGAGAAAAGGGGGATGAATGCAGCAGGTTAATAGTGGAGAGGTACTTGGGCACTCAGGTGCCAGGCAAGTGATAATGTTACTGCACAGTTGCACCAATTACAGCACATGAAGTTAGTACCTGTTATCACACAGGCACTAAAATGAATGCATGTGTAGATGTGCCCCTTGAATCTCTTTCCCCATGTCTAGAGCACTGCCCATGAGCGAGTACAGAGGGGATGGCAGGGAAGGAAGGATAAATGGTCCCATACCGGGGAAACAAACTACAGCAGGGTATTATCTGTGGCCAAGGGGCATTTGTATCCCAGGTCAAAGCCCCACAAAACGCGTTCTTGCTCTTGAAATGCCCCTTTCTGGGCAGTTGGGGGGATTCTGCGAGCCAAATCAGAGCTGATTCGCACAGCTCCCTGGGCAGCTTCAGAGTTTGGCCCGGTGCCCGCCACTCCTGTACTTTCGTTTCACTTTTGGCCGGGGCCCCGCCACTCCTGTACTTTCGTTTCACTTTCGTTTCCTCGTCCCAGCTCTGGAGCAGCAGCCAGAAGGGACCCAGGGTGAGGAGCAGAGTGCGGGGACAGGGGGCAGGGAGGTGTGGGGGGTTTATGGTAGTGTGGTGTTGCAGGGCATA